ATTATTAGCTGCTTATTTTCAACACTAAAAATTAAAGTTAAAAAAACTCTAAAATTTAATATCACTAACTTATTAAATCTTATAATATTTTATAATTTTTTATAAAACTTACTATATATAAGTTCTTATTTATATTCTATGACACATATTTAAAAAATTATTTTTCTTTGACATTTAAAGTTCAACACATGAATAAGTAAATGTTTAGTATTTAACTTTCTATTATACCATTTATCTATTAGATTCATTAATATCTTATTTTTATATCTGTACTAAATAAATATTAATTTTTAGGTACAAAATTTAAAAAAATATTTATTCATTAATTTTATATAATAACAATAAAATAATTACAATGTCAAAGAAAAAAAACTGATGTAGTGTTTATCTAAAGAAATAAAATTAATTTTATTCCAGCTTATTTATCTACATAAAAGTTCAAAATAATATTAGTTGTTACTATTCTATTAATTTCATTTTTTCATATAAAACGTATAAAAAATGTTTATCTCTACTCTTAGGAATGAATTTAATAATGATGATAATAATAATATTAAAAAAATGCTAGTATTATGCTTTTGTATATTCAATATAATAATTTAAAATAAATTATTTGGATAGAGTAGAGTTTAAAAAATTATTAATCAAGAATAAATATTTTTTAATATGTCCAAAAACACACGTTAAGAAATCAATAAACAGTGAGTTTTTAATATATGTTCAAATATCAAATTTTGTAATATTATATACTTTTTAATAAAAATTTAATATGCACATATTTTGATTACGTGTCCTATCCTATAACACACGTTAAAAAAATTATCATAATAATTTTTATTTAATAATTATAAAATATAAATATAAAAGACTGAAATTCCAATAATAAAAGAAATGGCATTCTTTGAATGCATGATGCACGTGTTCTAGTGTAGAGCAACGTTATTGATGGTCTCAAAGCATCGAGAGATGCCCATCGTATGTTTTCCAGCTACGGTAATAGTGACTTTCAACCACCAAGATGTGATAACATTAATTACTAAGTTAGCTTAGATATAGTGCTTAAAATTTAAAGTTTATTATCTTTCTCAAAGTTTTTTAATCAAAATTCTTATTCATATACTTCAAGATTGTGTCTAAGAATAGAAATAAGCCAGTTTTAATTAAGCTTTACTTTAATCAGGTCTAATCTGTAATATAATTATTAAGTTTAAGCTTAATTTATTACTTTTTAAAAGTTTTATTTTCAATTTAGTCTGAATTATTTAGATGATTTGAACTGATCTGAAACTTGTCAAAAAGTCTGCTACAAAAAGAAAATCTTAATATTAATAAAAATATAATTATTTATATTTAAGTGTATAACTATGTGCTGTAAACCTGATTTTTAAAAGTTTTTTTATAGATACTTTATTCAAAAAAATTATACCAATAAAAATAAAACACGTATTAAGTTACAAAAAGTATATATTATTATATATAATTTATTTAAAATTATATTATTTATATTATTTACTATATGGTCATATTATATATATATAGATATTATATTAAATTTTTTATTTTATTTTTCTATTATTTTTAAATAAAATTTTAGTTTTGAATAAAATATAATTTATATTTAAATAATTTTTATTTATTATAAAAAAAGAATTAAACATAATATATTAATATAATAATTAAATATTAATAATAATAAAATTAAGAATATAAAAATATATTAATATAATATTATTATTTCATTTTTAAATATTATTTCATTTAATTTTGATTGCGTCTTGTTCTTGTTCAAAAACTTAAACACTCTTTAATTTTTTTAAATATAACAAATATAGTAATTTATTATTAAATAATTTTATTATTAAAAAAATATAATTATGTATAAATATTTTTAATTTTTAATAAAATATAATTTCTATTGATTATAATTATAAATAAAAAATTATAATATAATATATTAATTTAATAATAACAGAACTAAGAATATAAAAAATATATTATTAAATAACTTTATTATTTAAACATGTTTTGATAGTTTTATTTTTAAATTATATATATATATATATATATAGAGGTTAGGTTTAACAAGTTTGGTAAATAGCTTAGGATTAACTTGTTTATTTAAACATGTCTTAAAAAAAGTCTAAGTTTTCTTTATTTATTAAAAAGGTCAAACTAAATCAGGTCAGACTACATACTCTTGTCAAGTGACCTAGTCTATTTCCATCCATAATTGTGTCTTTCTATAGTAGAACCACAACTCAACATCATTTACAAACGCTTTTATTATTGAAAGTTCAAAAATGAAATTAAACTAATTCTTTGAACTTATATTATATGTGGTGCTTTTTTAATAAATTTATTAAAAATTACAAAAGTGAAATGTGTAAAGAAATTAAAAGTGAAAATTATACTAATATTATTTTTATAATTTTAATTAATAAAAAATAAACAAATACAGAAATAATAAATTTTTGTCTGCTTAATTTTTTATTTTATTTTATTTTATTCTATAATTATATTAATTATATGTGATACTATTAACTATGATATAATCAATTATGAGATGTTAAGTAACACTGTCCGACTGAATGTTAAGCAAAAGCTGCAAAATCGTGCTTGTTACTAAAAATAACCTTACTGATTGCTAAGTGTGATATGCTGTTGTCCATATATTCTATCAAATTTTATTTGATTGCGACAAAAATACTTCTGTAATTAATTAGTAATTGATTCACACTAAATTAAAATAATTAATACAAAATTTTCATTAAATAAGTATTAAATATATATAAAAATAGGCTATAAAAGAGTTTTGAAATATACTTATTAATATTTTAAAAAATTTATATAAATATTAAAAATATTTATAAATATATTTCATCTTTCAAAACTCTTTCTTATAATCTAGAAATTGATTATAAAGATAAAAAAATATTAAATTAAAATTCATTTTCAATCAATGATATACAAGGCCCTACATGATAATTCTTCTGTACGTCTTCGTCCAAGCTTGAAAACTTCACATTTAATTTCTCTGAACTTGTCCCACTTCAAATTATACATATATATTTTTTAAAATAAAGATGATGAAATGAACTACAAAATAAAAAATAATAATGCTCCTAATATATATAGCATTATATAAGATAAAAAGTTATATATAATATATTTTTATTAGAAATTATATAATATAATATGCTAATATTATTAAATAGAAGAGCTATGCTATATTGTAACACAAATCCAATGTTGCTTCATTGGGACCTCTAGATTCCCAAAATGCTTGCCAGAACCTAACGCTAATGCCGCACGCTACACTGTACTGCACCCCAAACTTTGAAGTCAAAATTTTATTTTAATCCTATCCCAAAATTACCAATTGGCTGGGTGATAATATTTTATAATATCAGTTTTTAAATTGAATTTAATCATTCGTTTAAAATTTTTTAAAATATAATAATTTTTTAATAAAATTTTATTTTTATTACTTTTTTAAACTCGGTTTTAAGAGTTATAGTTATTTTTTATATTTTTATGAATATGATTAATTTTAGACCCTTTAAACAATTCCACCGTGAAACCCTTTAAACAATAACAATTTTAAAATTTTTTAAGAGACTTTTTATAAAGTATTTATTGTATTTTTTATTTGCTCATTATAAATAAAGTTGACTGTAACATAATTCGTAGCAACCTATTTTTATCCTTTTTTATAGACACGTGTGAGCTCTAAGAAATTATAGACTGTTTTTATCATACCACGCGATTCACTGTACACAATTCCCCACCAACCAAACCATATGGGACACTATAATAAATTATGTTTATTTCTTTATGTGTTCTAAAAACTATATTTTTTTATTAAAAATTATATAATAAAAATTATAAAATTATTATTTAATTATTTTTTAATCTTATTTGTATTTTTTTATTCTTATATATTTTAATGTATGTATAATTTTAGTTTTCTTAATTTTTATCGTTCATATTTAGTCTTTCTAAATTTTTAAATGCTAAATTTAATTCTTTTAGCTTAAAATTTTATCCAATAATTATTAAAAATTTAATAAATATATAAAATTTTATTAATTTAAATAATTTATATATTTGTATATAATATTGAAATAAAAAAGAAAAATGAAAGTACAAAACCAAAAGAAATCTAAAAATAAAAGGATGTATTTATTAATTTAGCCAATTTACTGTGAAACAAAGAGATTCTTTTTAAAGAAAAACAACATTACTCTCTATTGTCTTTTTCATAAGTAAATAATTAATTTATTAAAACTAATATAAAATAATTATATAATATAAATTTATATTTCAATATTCTAAAAACTGCCTATATTATTGAAAAATTGGATTGATAACTTATTTATATATTAAATGATTAAATGCATCTTCTTATATTAGAATTATAAGTGTGAGTGAGTACGATTATAACATAAATTTTATAATAAAATAAGAATATAAAATAATTTAATAATTAATATATGTAAAAATTAGTAAATTTTTTTATAATTAAAACCAATAAAATATTTTTATTATATTTATAAAAATATCAAAACAGTAATCGCTACTCTTAAGAGACAGATTAATAAACAAAGAAAAATTAATATTAATAATACAATTATTGTAAATATTTATTTATTAGCAAGATAGGTATTAACAAAATATTTTTATTTTTATTTTTAGAAATACTACTGGCCGTTCATTTCAAAACACTATTAAATGTCTACATTCAAAGACTGCACCTTTAAACTGGGGCATTTATAGAAGAGTAGTGATACATATATATTAAATTCTCAAAATGTTTTTTTTTAATTTATTTATTTCCCTCCTTATGTTAGTGTCACATATATCCTAATTTTCTCCTAAATTATTATATTTTTTTTTTCTGTAATATAAGTAGACTTTTCCTTCATAGAATCACCCAAAATTTTGTTAATTCTCATTTTGTAGAAGTTGCACTTTCTTTTCCTATTCCTCCTCCTCTCACAATGCTCCCCTACAAGACCATTGAAGAGGCAGAAGTTGCACTAGACAGAGGACTAACTCTTGCTGAGACACTGTGGTTCAAATACACTGCCAATAAACCAGATTTTGTTCTTCATTGCCACAACATTCTATTCTTGTGCTTGTTTTACACTCTAGCCCCTATTCCATTTGCATTGATAGAGCTTAGTGGCTCCAAGAACTTCAACAAATACAAGATTCAGCCCTTAGTAAAGACATCATTCTGGGAAATGTTCAAGTGCTACAAAAAAGTCATGCAAACCTTTATCATTGCAGTTGGTCCTCTACAGATACTTTCTTATCCCACCATAAAGGTACTTGCTATTTCATTTACATAATTATACTTATTCAGCATCCACTCTTAATTGTTGAGTCCAAATCTATTCTCAGTAAATATTCTAATCTTACACTAATGGATAACTTTTTTAACAACACAAATTTAACCAATTCAATTGCTAAACTAAGTTATGGGATATGTTTAATTTAACACTTATTTGACATAAACTTTTATTTCCGAGTTTGTATTATAAATTTAACTATAAAACTTATTAACATAAATTGAAAATAATTTATTTTAATAAAAACTAAAAAATTGTTATTTTTTTTTTCATAAAACACACGTCATTTCAACATTGTGCGATGCACTTAATATGTAATATATAAATTTGGATCTTTTCTAGTTTAAGCAAAAATTACAATATGTAATCTAAATTTACTTATGTAAAAAAAATTGTTTAAACAAATTTGACAAAAAAATAATTTTCACTTAAGTTAAAAAATTCACTTAAACGAATTAGTAAAAACATATTTTAATTTAAAATAAAAAAATATACTTAAATCAAAATTGTAAAAAAATTTAAATTTTTTTTAAACTACAAAAAATTTAAAAAAAATTTGTGCAAAATTATATAATCATACTAAGAAAATTTAAGAGTTTTAAATCATATATTACTGTAAATATTTCTCGACTAAATTTTTAAAGTCATTATTTATATAATCCTTATCATTATTTTTAATAATTTAATTTAATTCTAAATAGTTCTACCACAAATAGTACATTAGACTATATATTTAGTAGAATGATATGTATAAGGGTTTTAAGTAATTATATAGTTATTAATAAAAAATAAAGATTTTTTATAGTTTAGAAAAAAAAAAGATAAAATTTTAAATTTTTTTTCAATTTTAACTTAAACAAAAATTATTTTTTGTTAAATTTTTCACTTAAATAACTTTAGACTGTAGAATGCAATTCTTTTAAAATTATAGAAAATCTAAATTTGTAATATTAAGATAAATTGTGAATTTATATAGATAATATTACGATCTATTACACTTTTTTAGTTATTTAATAAAAATTATAAGGTTATATAAGCTAAACTTGTTAACTTATTTATAAGACTCACGTAAATTTTAACTTATAATAAAAAATATTAACGTTAATACTAAAATTAAATAGTTAATACTGGTAAAATTTATTAAAAATAAATATTTATTATAATTTTGATATAATAAATATATTTTTATATTTTATATATTTAAATTCAATTTTAAAAAATGAGATTAACAAAGTTATAATAAAAAAAGTGTTAGAAATAAGTCATTATAAAATGTGCTATTTGTGTTGGAATAGTATCAATGGACGAGGATGATACCCGTTCATAACCTATTAACTGGTATGAGTACTAATAATGTAATTGTAATTTATTAACGTTAGCTATTAGTCAGGCTCTCACATCGCACTCTTCAACAAGTACACTATTTAATTTTATATCCCCCTACTACCTACCTCCATTAATAATCCATATCAAATAGTACATTTCATATTCATAAATTATGAAATTTAAAAAATTTGTTAAAAATATAAAATATACTATTTTTATGTATTATAATATATATTATACTACTTCCAGTTTTATTTATAAAAAAATAATTAAAATACAAAGATTAAGAAAAGTAATAAATTCAACTATATTTTTAATAAATATAAATTTTATTTTAAAAATACCTATATATTAAATGATGTAGTTGGTGTAGTTTTTTTTTCACAAACATACATTTAACAATAAATGAAGGATATAAAAAGAATTCAGTAATTAATACATCTAAAATATATTATATGTTTCTTATAAAAAAAACAAAAAAAAAATACTTTTATTTTTTATAAAAAAAATCGGAGATGATAACATATTTTTTATATTATTATTATTATCTATTAATCAATTCTTCCGTTAGAGAAAATATAAATAAATTATTATTTTCTTACCGTGTTTTTAAAAACACATAAAGAAAAATAATTAAATAATAAATATTTATTAAAGTTACAATATTTAATATTAATAATATATTAGATTTTATATTTTTTAATAAAAATTATTACTATAATTTTTTATTATGTGTCTTAAATATGTATTAAAAAATTTATAAATTATATTATGCTTGCTATTTTTATTCGCCAAGACAAGTTGAAAAATTGGTGAAACGATGTTAATATGGTCTGAAATTAGTTAGATTAAGACTTTTTGCGTTCTTTTAATAAATTATACGACACTGTATAAGATGCGAGAGTATTATATATATTTTTTATATGTAAAATAATTATAATTGTTAATTTTAATTAATAAAAAATAGGTTAATAATTTATTTAAAAAATATAAATATTTTTTAATTTTTTTATATTTAAAAGAGAGCATTCAAATACCCTATTGATTTTTTTTTTATTTTCAAATAACTACTCTTTTTTTATACTAAGAAAAATGTCAATATTAATTTATATATATATATATATATATATATATTATAAAATGTAAATTACATATTAAAAGAAGCAATAATTTTAATATTTTTCATTACTATACAGTAATTTTTTTAGCGTCATATAGTGATATATCATAAAAGAATAAAATATAAAACATTAGTAATGAAAAATAGAATAAAATATAATAAAGTGAATAGAGTGAAAGTGTAAATGAAAGTGCAGCATGCATAACACAACGTGAAAAAGGTAAGTGAATGGCTCGCTTTACAAAAGTCACTCGTTTTCAAAATTTATATTATTTAATAATTTTTTATAAAATATAATATTAAATAACAAATTTTTTATTAAATTAATTAATTTTATAAAAATTTATAAAACCATAAAAATGTTGTTATATTACTTATTTTTAAAAATTATATATTTTTTAAAATATAAATTATGTATATAATATACATAATTAGAAAAATAATATAAGAGAATTTAATAATTGTGTTAATCAATTTTGTATTTATAAACTTATTAAATATGTATATATGATATTTTTTATTAAAAATTGTAAAGTTTAATATATTAATAATATATAATATTAAAAGTTATACTTATATTAATTTCTATTAAATTTTTAATGTACTTCAGAGACACATTAAAAATTAATAATTTTATATAAACAAATTATACAGAAAAATAAATTTATTTTTTTATGGTTATTTTTTCTTACTTTTAAATCATGCAAATAGTATAAACATTTGATATAGATAGAGTGTATTTTGAAAAAAATAGCTTAATGAATTCTTTATCAATAATTTTTTTATGTAAGGTTTTATTTTGTAAATTTGATTCTAACTTTTTGTTAAAAGTTGAAAATTTTTATTTTGAAAAAATATACTAAAAAATTATTAAAATAAGTTAAAAAGAATATATGAAAGTTATGTTTTATTTTCATAAATTCTTTTAAATATTTTTAGAACAAAATTTACCTCTTCTAAAATAAAAAGTGTATAAAATGAGAAAATAAATGTTTATTTACCTATAATTTAAATTAAAGTACTTCATAAGCATAACTAACTTTAAATAAACATTAGATACATCTTCACTTTCTTAATTTATATTTCTTAAAACTTGCAAAACAGATTATTTGGGCATTTAGAATGTCCTATTTCGGGTGACACATTTTCACGAGTCGGGTTAAAAAAAAGTTAATTTGAATTATTAAAATTAATATGAAAAATTAGTTTTTTTAAAAGTTAGTAAATTTAATTAATATCAAACTCGATCAAATTAGATTGAAAATAGTTGAATTTAATTTGATCTTATAATTTAAAAATAAAATTCTATATTTTATCGTATAGGTTCGGACCAACTTGATTAATTGGATCTATTTTATTAAGTTTAATATTTTTTTGTTTTAGAAAAGTCAAATATATCTCAATGAAAGAATAATATATAATATTATTTAAGATAGATAGTGTATCCTTGCAGTGCGTTGAACTTATGCCTATTTTCGTTCGACCTTATCTGAATTCTGAAATTATTGTGTGATTGTCAGATGGAAGGTTGTGTTTGTTTATTGATCTGCTTTCAGAGAGTAATAATGTAGACATATGAGATATGCATCATTAATATTTACATATATAATTTATTTAAAATTATAAAAGAAATAATAGTTATAATTAAATAGATAGAACAATAAAAATCATATTCTACAAAGTTATGTTGGTTTTCTCGTATTTATGTCATAAATGGTAATGGAATTTCTTCCCTCCAAATATTTTTGCAGTGGATTGGGATCAGAACTGATTTGACATTGCCATCAGGTTGGGAAATATTTTGCCAATTGTTTGTTTACTTTGTGATTGAAGATTTTTCCAACTATTGGATCCATAGGTTACTCCATTGTAAATGGGCCTTTGAGAAGATCCATAAGGTTCATCATGAATATTCAGCACCAGTTGGGCTCGCAGCACCCTATGCCCATTGGGCTGAGATTATTTTATTGGGTATCCCCTCCTTTCTAGGCCCTGCAATTGTTCCCTGTCACATAACAACTTATTGGCTATGGTTCGTTTTGCGACAGCTAGAAGCCGTTGAGACCCATAGCGGGTAAATGTTTTATTTCTAATATTTCATATTTATAGAAGTTTATTTATGATTCTTTGGTTGAGTTTTGCTTGTTTTTAATTAATTATAAATTGATATTTACTTAATTTTTCAAAAATATCAAATTTCAATTATTATAAGAGATGTTAATCAATTTTAGTAATATTTAAAATGTTTTAGACTAACACTGGCTTTATATGATTGGTAAAAATACATTTTTGATATAAAAAAAATACTTTTTTTTGTCAAATTAAATGAGTTTGAAAAGCCTTTTTTATACCATGATATCAATAAATGCTTGCTTTCATAGTTTTATTAATTTTAACTTCTAAAGTTGAGATGAAGTATACAAGAATAATAATTTTTTTATTAAAAGTAAGGAAAAAGATCTTCTCACTTTTATATTTAATCTGATTTTTTCATTTAATTTACATATAATAAATTATACGTATTTTTCTTACATCTTATCCATCTTGACATTTTACAGGTATGATTTTCCATGGAGTCCCACAAAATATATACCATTTTATGCAGGGGCTGCATATCATGACTACCATCACTATGTAGGAGGAAGAAGTCAAGGCAATTTTGCCTCAGTATTTACCTATTGTGACTACATTTATGGGACCGATAAGGTAATCTTTATCTTTTTTGATTAGTGATTTTAGAATTACCACCAAATTACAATATCAGTTATTCTATTAAACTTGAAAAAATGATAGTAGTTCAGCAAAATTATTCAATATTTCATGATAACCCATCACTATATAACGAGGCTATTATATCATTGCAGGGGTACCAATACACTAAGCAAATGCGCAAGAACAAATCTACTTCCACCATGCTTGCCCAAAATGACAAGATGGAGTAGCTGTTATCTGCTTTCAAAACGTTCTATGATAGTATATAAAATAAAAGCATGTTTTACCATGAGTGCATGAGGTGCTTTAGATTGTTCTTCTATTTATGTTCGCATTGAAGGCTTAAAATTCAGAGTACTTTAGTGCCACTTTAGTGCCAACCTGCTTCATATGTTTTGTTCGTACTTTGGCATATGTATAAGAATAAATATAGCACCGTCTACTTATACATGTTCCTTGCGACTTTAGACTCTATAAATTAACGTTGTTATGACTCGATTCTATAATCGTATAACAATATCCATACATTACAATTCTTGGGCTCGTTTAAGCAACATTTTGATTTAAATATTCATATTAAACCCAAATAAACTTCAATTGTACGGTTTAACTTTCTACATTTTATCTACCTATGTGAAGTTTAATTCTTGCACCACAATTTTTATGTTGCTTCTAATATAAAATTAATATAGTTAATCATCATTAACCTCTTTATTTGGTGTACCTAGCGTACATAATCTAGTGTGTGGCTCAAGGCCAGCCTCAAATTTGTTTAAAATAATTAAAAAAACGTATTTTTAAAAGAAAAAATAGGTTTTTTTTTTTAATTGCATGATTGTCAAATTAAATGCTTTTGGATCAACAATATAATTTTCAATCAAAGTCAGTGTTGAAAATATTTATTTTAAGCTCATTTACAAATACTATATACATACTCTTATCTCTTCTAAATTCTATTGTCAAAAATTACATCAATCCTTTTTCTTATATAAAATGTTAACAATAAAAATATAAAAACTTATAAAATTTTAGAAGAATTTTTGGATAAAGATAAGCAGAAAAAAGATAACCAACTCAACTGAAGAATCCGACGAATAAAAATGAATATGCAATTAGTTCATATCAACATTTCTATAATTTCAAACTTCACTCTCACATCTACTTAGCAATTTTGACAGTGCTTTAATTATTATTATTTATTTCCACAATACTTCATCTCCAACTTCAACCGTGTTTGGTCTCCAATATTGATGGTGCTTTATCTTCATCATTTTGTTGCATCTCCAATAGTTCTTTAGACTTGCTTTAATTTAATCTAATCCAATATAAGAAACTTTATCTTTGACAATTTATCAATATCGGGACTTTGTTTTAAAAATTATGAAAGTTTGTAGGTCTAAAAATTTCAGATTTATCGTTAAAATTTAGTGACTACAATTGTTAAACAAAAGCCCGTCTAGCTCAGTCGGTAGAGCGCAAGGCTCTTAACCTTGTGGTCGTGGGTTCGAGCCCCACGGTGGGCGATTATTTTCATTTTTTTCTTATTTTAATTAAAAAAATGTTTTTTTTTCTTTACCTTTTAAAGTTCGTTTACAATACAATGAATAAATCAAGGTTATTCAAAACCTTTTATTTACTCGCTACTGCCGCCGCACGTTGAGGCTATTACACTATAGATCGTAGCATCATACTTCCCATAAAGTACTACAAAATTAATCTAAAACACCTCTTCATGTTTTCGCAATAGTTTCAGTTAATTAAATGTTAAGATTGCATTATATCACTAAAATCATTGGTGAGCAGTGTGTTCCGTTACAATTTACTGTTATTTCTAAATGCAACCATTGTCCAATTTAAATAATTTTTTCAGTACATAATTTATATGAAGAAAAACAAAATGAAATAAAGTTATGCACCTTAAGATTAGTTAAATAAAAGAACTAAAAAACATTATTTAAATTTTACTTTTGAGAGAAATTCAATCTATTTTTTTTTATTGATAAGTTTATCCATGGCCCATGTCCGATGTTCGAAAATTGAAAGGTGTAATGCCATACCAATGGTGTTGGAAATATGATAAAAAATTCTTTTTATGTGATATAAAATGTAGCACCATGTGCTACATGTCCTCTTCCGAAGTTACTAATCAAGTGATCGTTCTCGTAAGGCTCATTAACACCACCAAAACCGATAACATTATCTGTCTATAGACACTACAAATTATTGGTCACAAAATTTCCGAAAGATCCAAGTCTAAGCCGCAACTGAACGGCTTGTAACATTTCAGCTCTTCTTAGTTTCTCATTCAACTTTCCATGATACCATGCAGCTCTAATCAAAATGACTGAACCAACAAGAAAGAGACCAAATCCGAGAACTTTTGAAGCATCTCGCTTTAACACAAACTAGTTGTCAGAGAGTGCATGGGCATGTTAATGACAGAGATTGGCACACCACCATGGGAGTTTAGGATGGAGGGAGTGACGGAGATGCCCACAACTTCACTTTCTTGTCAGCACTAGCGGTGGCTAAAACCAAGACTTGTTCATTGCCTGCAAAAGGCACAACCACCACATTATTTAGGATGACAAAAATTACATGCTGGCTAGTATAAGATACATTGCATGCACCATAGAAGAATGAAAATACAAACACATTTCCAAAATCCAAATATAACTTGGTTTTTCCCACATTTTAAATCAAATTCAAATAGTTTTCAACATATAAAAAGGGGTCTGGCAGAAAATGTGTCAATAATGGAAATTTGTTGAGAACATAAATTACGTAAAAAACCAAAAGGAAGAGAGCAAGATTAGCAGCATTACCCATTGGAATAGTTTTTGGAGCCCACGAAATGCATGCAATGTCACCTGCAAGTGAAGAAAATAAATAATCAATGACCTGAAAATCACAGATAGAGAATTGCTTCAAAATTTAGTTGCAAGTAAAGGAAAAATCAAAGGATGGATGCTTGGACATACTATCATGGGCTTTCTCAGCTGTATCCAAAACCTTTCCAGTCTCAGCACATAACCACTGCAATGTGGAACCATGGGTTGCAGCCAAAATTTTTCCATTGGGGGAAATACTCAGGCGGTCATAGTGTAATGTAGTACCGGTAGAATCATGAAGAGGAATAGGGAGCACCTTCAGTGTCTTTGGATCCTCATCAAGATGATAACGAACTTCAGGATACAAGAAAAATAAAGGTGAGAGGTGTTGAATTAATTAACAGTCTGGTCCTTCAGACAGCACATAACAAGCATACAAGGAAAGGACACTTTGATTAATCAAATAACAAGCACATTGTCTCTAACTATGGCCAAAGAAAATAAGCAACATTTGCAAAAGAAAACATGCTCATTCAGCCATAGAATCTCATGAAAGTACTACTTTTGATTTCTTTATTAATAGCATCACCACATATCTTAAGTCAGGAGCCATTAAACTATTTGTGACAGAACATTTAACTAGAAAAATAAAACTAATTTCACAAGTGAAAAGTAATCTACTTCCAAAATTTGCTTACCATTGATATTCCATATTCTCATCGAACCATCCTTGGATGCAGTGATTATTTGCTCAGAATTCGGGGTAAAGCATAACCAAGTCACGGCACTCTGACCCAAGTAATAAACATTTAAATAATTGTCACAAAGGTGATAATGATGAACAATGCAGGAGGAAAGAAGGATGTCGATAAACTATAATTTTATTTCATTTTCAATTGCTTTTGAACAAGTTAAACAATGCTAAAAGAGGATGCTAGTTCTCCTTTCAGCCCAAGGGAAAAATAAGATTGTTACACTCTTGAATACACTTGTGTACAGAGCCAACAAAGATTAGGATGTGATGAAAGCAATCCAAATTTATTTAGAGCCTACGAAGAGTCAAGTGAGACAAACTAAAACAGCAACTAATATGTTTGCATGGAAAAACGGGAAGATCATCTTTATTCTTCGGATTAAATTGTAAATCTCACACACACTGATTAGGATCTGCCAACATCTGTGTAAATCAAGGTTTCACAAAATCCAATGTTGGATATAAAGATTGTTTTACACACATCATGCTCATGAAATTTTCCTTAATCCAAGATCTTCTAATATAATACATGAAAATATAAGATTGTACTACATCAAATATATGAAAATTAATGTATAATATACTTCTCACTCTCACATAAACAAAAACACAATGCATTTGAAGGATCTTTAAACTATGTGTCAAAATGGAAACTTAAATTAATTTTCAAATGATAAGAATCAATTTGATATAACAGAAGAAATAAGTACAACGCAGTGTACTGAAATATGTAGTATTGTACGGAAATAAAGATGAATCAGTATGATTCACCGCAAATATAGCAGAAAAGGAGAATGCACAGTAAACGATCTTGAGCTATTCGAGGTGCTCAGGGCCTCCCAAATGGAATTACCTCCCACAATACTCTTTCCCCTCTCCCTCTCGTTACCCCACAATATATCCGGATTTATTTTCTCTCTCCTGACAGTTAGTGCACATTCGCATAAATTCACTGCATAACAAGGGAGTGATTCCCTGGTCCCACCCTATTTCTCTTTCTCGCATATACCCTTCCAAACCTTTTATTATTACTATCATTCCCTTCCCCTTCAAAACTATCCTTGTCCTCAAGGATAAAGTTAGGAAATTCTTCCTCAATCTTGTCAACTAGCTCCCAAGAATCTTCAAACTCTGGCAGTCCTGTCCAGTGAATCAGCACTTCTTTCTCTCCATGATCATTCATCCTCCGCGCTACCACTTTCTCAGGGGTCACCTCTAAATGCCATTCGTCATTCAAACAGGCTGGCAGTGGTTGAAAGTGTACTGTTGGTGCCACTGATTTCTTCAACAAAGATACATGAAAGATAGGATGCACCTTGCTGTCAATAGGTAGCTTGAGCTTATACGCTACTGCCTCTATCCTCCGTTCTATCTCAGAAGGGCCATAATAACAAGGGCTCAATTTCTGGTTCACTCTTTTAGCTAAGCTTTTCAGCTTGTATGGTTGTATTTTCAAATACACCATGTCCCCTACTTGATACTCCACCTCTCTTCTATGTTTATTAGCTTGAACTCGCATTACTTCTTGAACCTTCAGCAACTGTTCCTGCAGTTCTTTTACCATATCATTCCTCTCAGCTGTCAATCTGTTAACTTCTTCCACAGCTGAATGGTGTACATCTCCTCTGATCAACACGGGTGGGGCTCTGCCGTATAGAGCCTGAAAGGGAGTGGTCTTCAAAGCAGCATGATAATTGGTGTTATACCAATATTCTGTCCAACTTAACCACTTAGGCCACATCCTTGGTTTCCTACCTGTCACACACTGAAGATAAGCTTCCAAACACCTGTTTACTACTTCAGTTTGCCCGTCCGTTTGAGAATGATAGGCATTGCTGTGCTTCAATTTAGTGCCTGCCAGTTTGAATAATTTCGCCCAGAAGGAGCTCAAAAAAACTCAATCTCTGTCCGACACAATAGTACTAGGAAAACCATGCAATTTAACTACCTCTTTGATGAATACTTAGGCTATGTCCTTGGCAGTATAAGGATGGCACACAGCTATGAAATGGGCATATTTTGTCAACCTATCTACCACCACCACGATAGTATCCACCCCTCTAGCTTTCGGTAGCCCTCCAATGAAGTCCATGGAAATATCACTCCATACTTGAGTAGGAACAAGGAGTGGTTGTAAGAGACCTTCTGGACTCAAAGTTTAGTATTTATTCCTTTGGCAAACTTCACAAGCTTGTACATAAGCTTGAATAATTTTCCTCATTCCTTCCCAATAGACTAACCTCGCTATTTTTTTAAGTTCTAAAGAAACCCGAGTGTCCACCTACTGCAGAATCATGTAAGCAAGTATCCATTGACTTCGTGGTGAATTCTTTGGAATTACAACCCTTCATTCTTTAAACAGTCTCCCTTTCTTCAACTGGTAACCAGCATGGCTATTTGGATCACTAATTATATCCTGGACGATACCTTTAAGTTTTTCCTCCGCCTCCACCTCTTCATCCAGCCCTTCCCACAGCTCACAACTCACTGTGGTAATAGTAGCAAACTGCATTTTCCTTGATAGAGCATCAGCTACGCCATTCTCCTTTCCTGGTTTGTATTTAACTTCAAAATCATACCCCAACAATTTGGAGATCCATTTTTGTTGCCCCTCTCCCATAATTCTCTGTTCAGTCAAAAATTTCAGGCTCCTTTGATCGGTGTGTACCTTACAGTGCCTGCCCAGCAAATAAGGACGCCATTTTTGGACTGCCATAACTACTGCCATGAGCTCTCTCTCATAAACTGACTTCTTTTGTGCTTTGTCTGTAAGAGTTTGACTCATGAATGCAACAGGTCAGCCTCCTTGCATAAGAACTGCTCCCAACCCTTTTCCTGAGGCATCTGTTTCTACAATAAACTCTTTTTCAAAGTCTGATACTGCTAGAACCGGGATGGTCGTCATAGCGTCCTTCAATGACTCAAAAGCTCTTTGGGCCATCTCATTCCATTCAAAGTTGTCCTTCTTTAATAACTGAGTTAAGGGCCAAGCAATCTTCCCATAATCTTTGACAAATTTTCTATAATAACCAGTGAGCCCCAAAAACCCTCTCAGCCCTTTTACATCTTTAAGTGCTGGCCATTTAATCATAGCTTCAATTTTCTTGGGGTCTGCTGCCACCCCTGTTCCAGAAATTAAGTGGCCTAAATATTCAAGCTGATCTTGCCAAATGAGCATTTCTTTTTGTTAACATATAATTGATTCTGCTGTAGCACTCCTAGCACTTCTTTCAAATGCTTCTCATGTAACTCTACACTGCTGCTGTATATGAGTATATCATCAAAAAATACCAAGACAAACTGTCTCAAAAATGGTCTCAGAATTTGGTTCATAATTGCCTGAAAGGTTGAAGGTGCATTAGTGAGCCCAAAAGGCATCACTAAGTACTCATAATGGCCTTCATGAGTTCTAAAGGCTGTCTTAGCAATATCTTCCTCTTTCATGCGAACTTGATGGTAACCCGACTTTAAATCTAGCTTGGAAAAAATATTAGCTTTCCCCAGTTCATCTAATAACTCATCAATTACTGGGATAGGAAACTTATTAGGTATTGTAACTTTATTTAGTGCCTTGTAATCCGTACAAAACCTCCACCCTCCATCCTTTTTTTTAACTAAAATAACAGGACTCGAAAAAGGACTTGTACTATGCCTAACAATACCAGCATGCAACATCTCTTTCACTATCTTCTCAATTTCATTTTTTTGATAATAAGGGTACCTGATGTTGGGGATTGCTGCCCTTGGTTTAAGTTCAATAGCATGGTCATGTTCCCTCTTGGGTGGTAGTCCATTAGGCATTTGAAAGACCTCCTCAAACTCTGACAGCAATTGGGTCCACACAGAATCATTCTGTTCGGTCATCAGCATAGACTCTGCTTCCTTCTGGCACACTTCACTAAATACCCCACCCCTTCATTCTGAAGTGCCTTCATCATTGCCTTCCATGATACATGCACTGTACTCAATGCTGGATCACCATGAATAACAAATTGCTGTCCTGCACATTGCCATTTCAGACTCAGATTTCTGAAATTGGCTTCAATGTTACCTAAACTAGCTAGCCACTCCATTCCCAACACCATATCCGTGCCTCCTAATTCCATCAGGAAAAAATGTTGTTGAAACTTTACTCCTTGCACCATAAACTCTATATCTTTACACACCCCCTTATTTCTTACCATTTCCCCCGAACCACCTTCTATCATATATATTGGAGTGCCCATCATTTCAATTTCCAACTCAGCTACTAACCGAGGGGCAATAAAGTTGCTTGTTGCTCCTGAATCAATGAGAGTCAAAACCCTCCTCCCTTTAATCTCACCCCATACCTTGAAAGATTTATTTGAAGTAAGTCCCTCTCTACTTTGCAATGACAAGTGTAATGTTTTCCGTTCCCCAAACTCCTCAACTTCCGTATCATTTTTCTCTTTTACTTCATTTTCCTCGGATTCCTCCCCTCTTTCACACAACATCAGCTTCATGTGCCTAAATTTGCACATATGTTCTCGATTCCACTTTTCACCACATTTGAAACACAACCCCTTCTTACTCCTCTCTTCTAACTCAGCTGTACTCAACCTCTTCCCCCTAATTACTTCATTCTTTTCTCCCGAATTCATTCCAGCCTTAGCTCCTTCTCTCCTGTCTGTTCTTTCTTTCCAAGTGCTACAGAACTTTGAGCTATTTCCCTTCCAATCCGTTTTCTCTTTTACCTGACTCCCCTTCTTATACACTGCTAAATTCTTCTCCTCTATCAGTAAAGCACGATCCATGAGATCTGCTAGATCTACATAATCATACAGTTTCAGCTCTGCTTGTAATTCCTCCTTGAGCCCATTGAGGAAAATACTATCCAACATTACACGTTCCTCTTTGTCTAGAGTTGCCACATGAAGTTCGAATTTCTCCCTATACTCCATTACTGTCCCTTCCTGCTTCAAATTAAGCAACGGACCTAATAGGTTGTTAATTAGGCCAGGGCAGAACCTTCGTTTCACTGCCACCTTAAATTCCTCCCACGTACGCGATTGCGCTTGATTCTCCCACCACTGAAACCAGTTCAAGGCCTTGTCTTCGAGCACAATTACCACTGCATCTAACTTGTCCCTTTCGCACACGCCATTGATGTGAAAATACCTCTCCACGTGCACAACCCATCTATACGCATCACCACCCAAGAAAACTGGAATCTCCATTTTACGTCATCCTCCTCTATAGATCACTGTCGAACTCCCACTTCGTATCGACTGTGATCGCGAACATCGGGGTGGTGTTGCTTCATCATCAGTGACATCGCCATCGCCTCGTCTTCGACTAGGTGCTCTGCGTCGGCGCAAACGAACGGTGAGCTCGTTCATCTTACGGAGCATCTCAGCCATGGCCGTTTCCATGCCTCCGAACCTCTGTTCCAAATCATTCATACGATTCTCCATTTTCCCTCATGTTAGTACCATGCATAACCCCAGGAATGACGTGCTTTGATACCAAATTGATAAGAATCAATTTGATATAACAGAAAAAAATAACTACAACGAACGCAGTGTGCTGAAATATGTAGTATTGTACGGAAATAAAGATGAATCAGTATGATTCGCCGCAAATACAGCAGAAAAGAAGAATGCACAGTAAACAATCTTGAGCTATTCAAGGTACTCAGGGCCTCCCAAATGGAATTACTTCCCACAGTACTCTCTCCCCTCTCCCTCTTGTTACCCCACAATATATCCAGATTTATTTTCTCTATCCTGACAGTTAGGGCACATACGCATAAATTCACTGCATAACAAGGGAGTGATTCCCTGGTCCCACCCTATTTCTCTTTCTCGCATATACCCTTCCAAACCTTTTATTATTACTATCATCAAATCCCCCAAAAATAATAATGCTAATATTAAACCTTATGTCCCTTAAGCTGCATGACTTTTGCAACTTCCTTGACAGATCCATCCTTTGCATATACAATTTCCCAGACCTGCCAAACATTGTAGACAAGCAAAAGTGGATAATATATTATTATATTAAGCATTCTGAAAAACAGGAGCCGTAACAAGTTGATGAAAATTGTCCAATCAGAAAATATAATAAAAGGATACACATTTATTATTCTAAAGATGTATTAAGAGGCTCCCTAAGGTCAAAAAAAGTATTAAACAGCTGTATTAATTAGAATCCATGTCAAAGATGAACAATGAGTAGTAAGGTGACAGTATTAATCACTTTAACAAAGCTTGCGATATTAACCCTACTTAATTTTAGTCACACAAACCATACAAAAGCATTAATTTAACTGATTTTGGCTTTCACAAGTTGTCCTGTGCAGTTTCAATTGATACAAGCTTGCCACTATCTTGTTACCAGAATAGGCAATTTTATTGTAAGATTACAAACAAAAATTGTGGATTATCAATTTGTAGATCATTTGCAAAAATATAACTTTCCTTGGAATACTAGCAAGTAGCAATACAATCTTCAGTGTTACTTCAACAGTATATAATCAAAAGTACTTCTAAATTTTCAATTGAACCGATTTTGTCCAAAGAGAAGAATGTACTGCTTAAAGTGTGTGTTCTGACATCAGCAATAGCAATGATGTCAGAAATCCTCTTTCCTTCTCCATCCTGGTCTTTGGTGATCCCCCAAGACTAACTATATGTCAGCAAGGCATTCCCCTTTTTCTCTCCTTTTCTCCTATCTGGAAAATATTCTCCATATTCCCATCTTTTACATTTGTTTTTCAACCAAAATAAATGAAAAGACTGCTTGAGTATCTAAAGTCTAGGTTTTTCTTCATATCCATCTTTACTCACTAGCCACAATATTGAAAATTCTGGCCCAAAATTGTGGATTGACATTTGATAAAATTAAAGTAAAAGGTGTTGTGCATATATGTGGGGAGAGACAGAAATAGATAATTAGATGGGGGAGAGAGAAAGAGAAAAATGGACAAGATGGTTGGATATACAAAAGCTAGAAAAGAATAACCAGCATGGCAAGTTGCTTTTAAGTTAAAGTGCCCAAAGATGTTTTATTGTAGAATTCCAACTTTTTCACTGAGCAATATTTCACCAACATTTCACCATAAACTTCAAACATACATATCATAGAAATGAAGAATCACTCTTATGAGTCCGTTAAGATATTTGCCATGTTGCTTATATCCTTTTCAATTGAATTGTAAAAAATACAAGAGGTCATTGATCAAAGCCTAATGGGTGCTATCTTGTTGCTAAGGTGATGATAAGTCTAAATCTGGAATTCAGCTAGTAAGAAATAGGAGAAACTTAAAGGCTACCTCCTACTGTACAGTATTAATTGTGCACCAGTGTCTGTATATGTATAAACAAGATATATTAGTAACTCCCAATAAATTAAATGGATGTGCACATTAAATCTCACCTTCACATCTGCAGTAAAAGCTGCAGCTGCAACAAAACGGCCATTGGGTGATATAGTAGCCATGGTATTTTTCAATTGATTTGTATCCACATGCCCCACATTCTTCCCAGTTTTTCCATGCCAAAGAATGATGTCAGTCCCTGAATTAGAAATCATACTTTAGGATAGAGGTTGTAGAAAGTCAACATCAAGCATTCTATTTCAGCATAAAAACAGTGGCAATAATTTCATCAGTAATTTGAAGTAAAAGTATAAAACATAGTGGATTAGATTTAGGGAGCAGAAGAAATCTCATACCAGATCTAAAATTTAGTTAACAATGTAATGTTTCTTACTCAGATGTGCCCCATTAGGTGAGGTAAGATAAGACAGTAATAATAGTTGAAACCAGTATTTAGTGGTCAAGTATATAGAGAAGCAAAGGCAACACAAACAGAAATGTATACTCAATTCAAACCACTTTGTGGACCTTCTAACCATACAAGCACTTCTCTTTCCACAAGCTACTACTAATAATAATTGAAATTCCCTTCATAATTGCCACATACTGTTGGGTGAGAAGACCCCAAATACATAAATTACGACTGAATATTTTCTTTATAGATTTCAATGGGAAATGAAGTCATAAAGATACCTTCTGAACATGAGGCAATAATTGTACTTCCATCAGCACTGCCATAAGTTGCAGAGGTCCCAAACAGAGTCAATATTGCTTTTTTATCATGAACTTTGTGACGTTCCCATTTAATTTCTGGGAGAGGAAGCTTCGCTTGTGGTTTATTTTCAGAAGTTTTAGGTTTCTCTTCTCCATACATATATAATGAACAACCAGAGAGAGTATGAGATGCCACAACAACAGAGGATGCATCGTCAGAAAATGCAACTGCTGTTGGATGACCACCAGCAGGCAAATTAATTCTTAGAAACCTACAAGAGTTAAGAGAATAAAATTTATGCATATAAAATATGATTGACATTGAGTTGACATGCATACGTATGAAGAGGCTCTTGAAATTCACATACTTGAAACTTTTACTTGAAGCATCATCCAACTTAAATACTCTCACAACTCCATCAGCACAAGCTGTTTGCATACACAATATATAGTAAGAAAGTGAGAAATCTATTTCATATGATGCTAAATTTCTCATCAACTGAAAATTAAAAAAAAAAAAACCATTAGAACAGGTAGCAATCTTAGGTCAAAGAAATTTAGAAAGGATATTAGCGGTAAACAACAATGATGCATGAAAATGCATGTCAACAAAATGTGATCTCTAGGTGAGGATACGGAACATAAATAAGGTGCTGAGCAATATGCAATTTTTTCAGTTTCTTGGAGTCATTGGCTGGAATGGTTTATTCACAACTTCAACAGTCTATTTTTGTATCTTAAACACGGCCTCAATTGGATAACAATATGTTTAAGGATGCTCAGTTCGAGGTGTTTTAAGTATATATACTTTCTTATACGCAGAAAACTGATTAACTATTGTGTATTTCAGCAACTTTGGTCTTTATATCATTTTGATTTCTTTATTTAGACAGGTACTTTCCTGTCCACCCAGAATTGTTTTCTCTCATCTCCCAAATGAAATTTCTTGTTTTAGAAAATAATAAGAATAACAAACAAGTTCACAAGAATGGCAAGATGAGCTTTTCCTGGTTGTACAAAATTAGTATAACAAGAATTGTTGAATAAAGAAATGCACATAGAAATGCAATTAATAAAAAGCAAACTTAGCATTGCCATGAAGTTTGATGAAATTATCTTTAAAAGGCACTAAAATAAAAACATAATCACGAATATCTGTTACTGTGAACAAACATGTTTGAATACCTGTTGCCAAATTTCGTCCATCCGGGGAGAAGCATAACCCCGTAACTGCATCACCGTGGCCTTTCAAGGTATTCAAATCCAACGGATGATGGCGCTTGATTTGATCCTAATGTTCCATAATCAAAAAGTTGTGCCAAGTCAAAAAAACCATACCATAAAATAAATCATACCAAATCTTCAAGCTCTCCAAATGTGATGCGTGTATAAAACAAAAGACACCAAAACAACATCCTAGGACCATTAAGCTCCACCAAGACACATTTTAATGATAAAATTGACAATTTCATATCTACTAAGTCAGAAATTATCTTAAATTTCCGAGAAAGAAAAAAACAATGAAGCACTTAATCACGACTAACTACAAACCAACCTTCTTCAACTAAAAAATCCAATAACCCATTAATGCAATCAAACCCCCGCAATGAAAAAGAGGCAACTTTAACTTAAATACCAAAAACCCAGTATCAAAATTGAAAACCTCCAACCCCCAACACTTGTTATAGCTTAAGCAACGAAACGCAGGAAAAAGGTATAATTGGAAATGGAAAATACCTTGTCAGAGGAATGAGGTTTGGAGAGAGGCTTCTTGGGAGGGGGTTTAGGGTTGGGAACCGAATGTGGATTCGGATTCAAATTCGGGTTAGCGATGGATCGGATTTCGGATTTGCGATTGCGGAAGTATGTGTTGAAGAATACTAAGGCGATTATGGCACCCAACACAAGCGAAAGAGCCACAATGGGTAACAGAGGATCCATTTGTGATTAAGAGAGACGAGTTGAGACACGCAATCGAAAGAGAAAAGAAGGGTTTCGATTTGGTTTGTTTTTGAAGGGTTGAAGCTGAAGTTGCAGCAGTGTTTGGGTGCACACGTGGATTCTTAATAAAATATCCATATGCATGTCATGCTTCTGCATAAGATATGTTACTTCGTACAAAGATATGCACATCCTCCTTTTACATTCTACTGCAAATTTTTCTCTCACTGTAAAACAACTGTTAGATCCTTTCTTTTTTTTTTAAAATGTTGCTTGATGTTAAAGTAATTTTAATAAAAAAAAATGTTATTTATTAATTTATTAACTAATTATTTAAGATTCTTTTTGGGGATTATTTATATATAAAAAAAACTTTTTTTTTTTATAAAACTCTTAAAAATAAGTTAACTCAAAATACACTTCATCCATTTGTAATATACAAGAATTGAAGTCAAGCTGGTAAAAAGGGTTATCAATTTCATTCAAGTTGATCAACTGGAAGTGACTTTAACAGGTTAAGGAAAATATTATGTTCATTTTGAACTTACAAAAGTAGTGTCTGAATTTAGTAAAATTTAAATTTTTTAAGTTTTCATGAATTTTTATTGACTTAGTTTGTATCAAACTTGATTAAATTTAATCTGAATTTAAAATTTACATTTTATTGAATGAATTTAAGTTAACTCAGATGAACAGACTTATTTTGTCAACTACAAACTGAAGTTACGATTGTAATAAATCATTAAATGAAAAAAATAAACTCCTACTTTATTACTTGTACTTAATTCACTTCACCACACTATTCTTAATTTGAATTGAAGGAAGCTAAAATATTTGTGACATTATGTTCATTGTTTTGAAAATTAATACATTTATGTATTTGGATAAGAAGAAAAAAACAGTTTTGAAATATTACAAAATTTTAATCAAATAACATTTAAAGTAATATTATTTTAACACTCGGTTTGGGTGTTAACACCAAACTATCTATATAAATATATCATAATTGCTTTTTAATTTGTATAGAGTGTTTGGTATAAACACTAACATTATTCTAATTTGTATGTTAAAATAAAAAAAATAAAAAATATATCTTATTAATTTCATATTTTCTATAATTTAAAAATTTTTGATTCAATAATATTATGAATTCTTCGTATTTAATTAAATTGATACAATCACATAACAAACTACACTTTGATATTGCTATAGCACCACTGTTATGAACGTTTAGAGCAACAAAATTAATAGGAGAAAGAGACCAAGAAAGCATTAGTAAGTGGAGTAACAATCTTAAGGTTAAGTGAAAAGAAATTATAATCCTGCAAGATTTGTAAAATGATAATCTTAAACTTTGCATTTGGATCGATAAATTAAAAGTTTCTAAATAACTTAAATTTTGAAAAAAATTAATTAGCATTATTTAAATTTTCACCATTTTAAAATATTTTATTTAAATAAAACAACTGAATTCCTTCACTTCAATTTTTTTTGTTTGTTATTTTAATATTCAAACGACACGTAGATTTTAAATTTTAAAGAGAGAAACATGAAAACAAAAAAACGAAGAAATACTCAAAATAAATGAAAAATAAAATTTAAACTTTCATTCTTTTATTAAGATTTATAATTTTTTAATTTAAATTTATTAAAAAATTAAAATTATATATTTAAATAAAAAATTAAATCATAAAATTTTAAATTTTAAAAAATATATTATTCACTTAAAATATCCTATGAATAATAAATAAAGAAAAAGTAAATAAAAATCCATTCAAGTCCATTAAGAGCCTTATCCATTAAATTGGTCTGCGTTAGAAAATAAATTTGGGCCAGAGGACAGCCCATTACCCTTCAAAGCTTTTAAACGTGAGACCTAATTTACACATCACAAATAAACACCTACCCGCATGAAAAATTTGGTTGTTATGCATTTATAAAATAAAAGAAAATTTTGTGACATTTTAAAAAATGAATGGGTTTTGTGTAATAAAACAAAATTTATAATAACGTTTGTTTTAATTGTTTGCTAAAATAAAAGGTTTGGCGTATAAGTGTGATTCATATTCATAAACTATGAGGGATTTTGTGTAGGTTTAGAAATAAAAAGATTTTTATGTAATAAACATTAAAAAAGAGATTAGAGTAATTTATTATAAAGATTTAAAAATATTTTTAAAATATAATTTTAAAAATCATATACATATCAAGGACTTTTTCCATCTCAATTATTTTAAAATGGTCAGAGTATTTGGATTCTGAAATCGATTGAGGTTTCTGCTCAAAGTTAAAACATTTTCAATAATATTATTAACATTTTAAGTATATAAGCGTAGTTAGTTAATATTTATAAAAAATATTTATTATATTTTATGTAATAAATAATCTTCTGTATCAAATATCTTAACCCTTTTAGATGCTCAATATTAGTTTTAAAGTTTGATATTATAATTTTTTAATAATATTATTTATATATTAGTTTCATACTATTTTTCATAATAAAAAAATCGTATGAACACGATGATGTTAAATTGACAAAGTTCAAGTGTTATTCATAGAGTAGATCTTCAATTAAGTCTTTTACAATGAAATCTGTTATTATATTGTTTTGTAAAAATATTTATTAAATTAGTCTTTAAATATTTTTGTTAATGAAATGTCTCTTAAATAATTAATTCATAATTAAAATTAGTCTGTTAAAAAAATATATCATCACTTTACTTTTTTTTCGAAGATAAAAATGATAAAATTTTAAAGTGGATTTTTTTAATAATAATTTAATATTTTTTATCATTAATTTCATTAAACGTGTAATTTTTTTTATGTAGTAAAAGGGGGCTTAAGAATCCAAAAAGCATCTGTAATTTTAAAGTCTTATTTCTTTCTTTTTTCTATTTTGTTATGTCTATAACTAGACTTGAAAGTAAGTCAAGTTAAGTTAAATTTTGCATATGTAGTTTTAATATATTTAATAATTTTAAAGTTTAAATTCAACCTATTATTTATTATAATTTTTTATTAAAGTTATTATAGCATTTTTAAAAGCTTAATTTAATTTATTAATTTTTTCAATAATCTACTTTATATTGAAATTTTTAATGGGTTATTAAATTTATTTAGAAATAAACTATCTAAATAAATTTTCGTTTAAAAAATCACTAATACATATGTTTATTTATCAATTTTAAATTAAATATTTTATTTATATAAGTAAATTATTGAACGCAAAATAAATTTGATTAAACAACATTGTCAATAAAGTTTAAATAGACTATTATATCAGACTAAATAGATTTTTCTATTAAATTTAAGTTTGACTAGTTTAATTAGTTAAATTTTTTAAAAAATTTAAATTTAAGTCAGACTTTAAACAGACCTTAGGTATCGGTCAGATAATATAACTTACTATAACCCTATCCTTAACCTTCTATTAGGTTTTACTTTTATATCCAAAATAAATGATATGTCACAGAACATATATAGTTTGAAAAAAAAGAAAAATAGAATATCACTGGCGGCTTTAATCTTGTAGTTGAACATTGCCCCATAAGTATGAATACAATTGTATGATGGTTTAAAAAATTGATAAAGTTAACGTCTGAAAATAAAGAAGGGAATTACAAACACACCCTATATATTAATAATCAAATTCAACTTATTTTCTATAAATTATTACAAAAGATCTCAAAGGATGTGAATTGTTTTAACACCTATTTTTTGACTTTGAGAATCAGTCATGATACACACCATTACGGGCATTATCACTATTGATTAAACAACAATTAGTGACTTATCTTACTACCTCTATAATTTATGTACGCAGTAAACTAAATCAATGATACATGATCCTTGCTATATATTTTTACAATACTCTATCATTATAAATTACAAAATCAAATATCTGCTATCGATTAATTATGTTTGAAGAATATTATTGCATCTCATAATAACTCCTTTTTTTTTTTTTTATTGATTTCAACTAAATTATGTAGGAAATTCACATCTTTCTATTCAGCAAATTGAGAATCGCCTCATTCTGACTATGGTGAAGTTAATGTTGACGCAAGTTGTGATATGAGCAATAATAGTATTGTTAGTAATGGTGTTATAAGGTCTAATAGTCATAGATGGATTAAAAGTTTCATTTTATGATGGACAAATGTATCTTGATCGTTGAGTTACATGCAATAAAATGGGATATATTAAAGGATTTGTCAATATATATATATATTTGATCATAATTTAAAATTTTTAGATTGCACAATTTGTTCTATCATCTTTGATTTTAAGATTTTTTTTGTTATCGTTTATTCTTAATTATACAGCAACAATCATTTTAGCCTACAGAAACAATCGATTTCATTGAAGTTAAGAAAATTGTTTTGACTTTAAAATCTCTAGTTTGCACAATGTATTCTATTATTTATTGATTTTTCGATTTATGACATTTTATTTCATGATAGAGTATGGTTGAAATTGACATGAAGGGTCTATAATTGATGAAGTTTCTTGCATAAATTAAAAGTCAATGACATACGTTATTACGAATGTTTTTCATCAATAGCGACAAGTGTGTGTATTGTAACAGGAATTTGAATTTCAAAGTCAAATACACTGTTAAAGCAATTAATTTGCATGGTTTCAAAATTATTATAATAATTTATAGAGAATAAGTTGAACGTAATTATTTACATAGTTTACTGGATAAGTTTTTCCAGGTGACTTCAGTTTGATTATCAATGTATAATAAAACTAAGTCAACAAAAAATATTAACACAGATTACAAGTCGCCATTCTTCGATCTTTAAGAAAATTTAAAGTATACCTTTATTTTAGATAATAACTCGGTCAATTTATGAAAATACCCTATCATTTTAACTAACATCAAAATCTCTGTTTTGATTTACTGGATAGAAAACTTATACTTATGGTGTTATGATAATTGGGGACGGCAATGAAAAATTTGAAAATATTTTTCATGTATAGAGAATGAATTGAATACTTTTTTGTGTAAAAATCATATTGAGAATCAACATCACATCAGCAAAAATTCCAATTTGAAAAAGAAAAATATATTAAGTATTTGATTGAATTATTTTGCCAATATTTGCAGGAATACACCTAAGTGTTTATTACAAATAAATACTTCGGCTTGCATCATGCAGGATATTATTTACTATAATCGCTATAATCTTCCTGTTAACATCATTCTTCATAGATAACCCTTTTCCTTACAGCATTGAATTGCATCCTCAAACATTTCCTCAAGGCTATACTTGAACTTGAATCCAGCATCCATAAGTTTGTTCGAGATCAAGTGTGGAAGCTTGGGAGCATTAATTTTCTTCAGCTCGCTAGAAGAAGAAAGCAAATTAAATAATATTAGTCACAGTAAAAAGAAATTAACTACATAAATTTAATAAAGTTTTTTCTAATGGAGAAAGGAAAATATATAACTCACTCTAACGATGGTATTTGAAATTCTGGGTGTTTGGTAGAAAAAATTTCTGCTATTTGTTCAATAGTTACAATGAATGGTGAGCAATTATATCTTCCTTTTGGATTAGGATGCTCAAGCAGGAATATATGTGCTCGAGCCACATCATCAACATGCACCATATGGATACGTGTCCCAAATGGATTCTTCTCACCTGCACCATCCATTTGCTTTCATTAAGAATCTATTGGCATGGTAAAATCTGAATAGGTTGGTATTTTTTTGTGAATTCTACGTTAGAAAAAGTCAATATAATGACAAATTTTTTAATTAAGGCCCCATTTGGTTTACAATGGAAATTAATATTCTATGTTGTGCTTACTTTTCTGTAAATTTTGCGATAAAGATTGACTTGGACATTCATCTGATTTTACCAAAATTAAGTTTATTAAAAATTTAAAAATAATGATTAATTTTTTAAAAATTAACCCTTAAGAAGGATTGTGTTTAAGTATTTAAAAATATGTTTGTTATATTAGAGATAATTTTTTTAATAAAATTTAATATTATTATTTGTTTAAACTTGATTTATAAAAATTAGAATTAATAAAATTATTAAAATAGACAAACATTTTACTAATATGAACGATCGATTTTGGTAAGATTATTTTTTGTAATACTCTCATCTCTTACTTGACATGCTTTTTTGTCTGTGTATGTTTAAATGTATGTGTTTAAGATAAAATAACACTGCCATAATTAATCAACGTATGACCAATCAAACTAATCAAATTTCTCATCAAAGAAAACTCAGAAAAAGGGGTTTAGAAAATAGAAGATGAAGTACATACCAAACAGAAGAGCCAGTGAACTATAAACTGAGCCAGGAAGCTTTGGACAAATAAAGGGTCCGACAACAAAAGTTGGTATTAGAGTCACAACATCCAACCCATGTTGTTCTCCGAATTCAAGAACAGCCTTCTCAGCCAATGTCTTAGAAATCGAATAAGACCAAGCAAATGGCTTCAAGGCTCTAAGAATATTCACATCACTCCAATAACTCTCATCCATTACATCCTCTTCTTTGTCCTGCCAATAAACAGTAGAAGCACTAGAAGTGTAAACAACTCTCTTCACAGTTTTTGAATTCAAGCATGCTTTTAAAATTCCTAATGCCCCGTCAATGGTTCTTTTGGTCACTACTTCCTCAGGTTCGTTTGCTTCAAAATCAATTGGAGTGGCTGTGTGGAACACCCCAATGCACCCTTCAATTGCTGCACTGAAACTCTCTGGGTTGCTTAGATCAGCGTTGAAAAAGTGTAGCTTTTGAGATGCACCTGGGAGATTCGTGAGGAAGCTAACATCTTTCTTCCGCTCTATACATTAAAACATTATTGCATGATTTTGGTTATAAGTCATAACATAATAGTAAAAACAAAAGTACTATAACATTAATAACACCATGCATAACTTGATTTAATTAAATTGGAGACAAACACGTTATTTATCATCATACAACCATGCCAAAGACAAAAAGGAGTGTGTTTTGATTATATTTGATTTTTCCAATTTCTTGTATGAATATGTTGCTTCAAAATGAAATTTTGAAACAAAAAAGGCTTACCAGGATCAGATCTAATGGTGGTATTAACAGTGTAACCATCTTCAAGGAGTCTCTTGATGATCCACGAACCAATAAACCCTGTACCTCCAGTTACACACACTCTTCCTTTCCCCTCTTCCATTTGGACACACACTTTCGCTGAATATATGTGTAACTTTTTTGTTTTCCTCTACTTCTAGTTTTGTTGGTACGTTCTGCTTGAATCTTAATGAACATATATATATATATATGGTTACACTGTTATGGTTGTTAATTTTTCCATGGGCGTATTCGTTCAAACATAAAACATCCCCTTTTTGACTTAACTTCCCTGTAGGTTAAAGAGGGATCCTAATACCATCATTTGTTATTGGTTCATTTTAAAAAATAAAATAAAATAAAATTAGAGTTTTATTTTAATAACATATAATAATATTAAATATAAAAGCTTTATTAACTTTAAATTTTAATTGATTAACAATTTTAACATATAATGTAGCTTGTAGTAACCTAGACAATTTAACTTTAGAAAAATAATATTATTTTTATAACGGTCTATTAAATGTTAGTCAACAATATTGTTCACAGAAGTGACTCTAGCAAGATCTGTGAGAAATTTGCTGGGAATTGAAATAATCATCTTTGTCATATTTTATTAATTCTTTTAAAGATATAATAAGTTAAAATATTCTTCATATTCATATTTTATTTTTAAGAAAATATTAATTTTTTAATAATTTTTATGTTGCTAACTAGATGGCGGCTTGGGCTGCTAACCTTCTACGTTTTTGCTAGTACTGTGTTGATCTCTTTCATATTTTTTTAAATTAAAAAAGATGGCTTCAAAATTTCGAATAACTTGCCATATTTAATTAATTAAAAAATTATCAGAATGTCTCTGACTTTTTCTTTCCATTGGTTTCTGAACTTCAACAGGTTTCGGAGCAAGTAAACCCATTCTCTCTGTGACACAAGATCGATGCATTAATTTCAGATCACTCATAAAATTATATAACATGATATAATTATATAAAAAAGTATCAAATTTAATAAATAAATTCTACAATTAATTATGATAAATTATTGTTTTAAAAAATAATATATTTTTCTGTTAATTAATAACATAAAAAATAAATTAAAAAATTATCATTCTACACAAATATTGACCAAGTCAACAAGAGTATCCACCCTGACAAGTTATCTATCAACTAGCCAGTTCCAACGGTTTATCCTCTCTCTCGTTTTTTTCTTTCTACCTATTTATTTAGAACATTAATTGAAAGTATAGATGGCCAGACAATATATAATATAGAGAAAAACGTTAGTAACATTCTTCAACGTATTTATTATAATTAGTTAATTTTTAAAAAGTTAAAGCAATTTTTAAAAAAATTACCAATTTATAAAGTAAGTGATTTATTATATATATATATATATATATATATATATATATATATGTATACTGATCATAAAAAAAAATACATTAAAGAGTATGTTGTTATGATTTCTTTTTCTACAATTTATCCACCTTATACAAATTTGAGCATGCTTATAAGACTTTTTATATAATTTATTTGAGTTTATGATTTTAATAAAAGTTTTAATAAATTTACCAAAATATTTTGACATACAGTTCTTTTACAATGTGTGAAATATGTTAACAACTTGATTTCACTAAAGTTCCAATTTATTTACAATTTATTTTTAAAATAACAAGTTAATTAATCTTAATAAAATTTAAATTAAAAAATAGTTTATTATTGAAAGAGCTAAAACAACATAAATGGCAACTTCACCAAACTATATATTATCTGCATATTGACTCATTAATTTATTGTGGGTCTTCCAATTAGACTTTTACTGGGAATATCATTATCATAAAATATCACCCATTCCGACCACCACCCACCAAATCATCACTCTAGCAAGTTATTACCAGCTGGTTTAGGTTTAGATCAACGGTATGCAGAAGTTTCTATGAAGAGTTGTTATAGTCTTCGTTAATTAATTAATTTATACAGTTCTTTTAAAACTAACAAAGAAATCTATGGGGAGGGAATTGGTCAGAATGATTTGTTAATCTATCTCTATATCGTAAATTTAAATTTCTATTTTTAGACAAATTTTCTTTTACAAATTCTTTTCATCTTTAATTTATTGTTACTTAATATGATGAAATATATATTACTAATAATAAAGTTATTTATTTATTTTTATTTTATTTAATATTGCAAATTCTATTATGAGCCTTGCACATTCCCTTAATTATACCCTTAATCAATGTTCTGTTTGAAAATAACCTTCAATAATCCTTGGATTCTTAGACTCGTATACTGAAGTAAGAATACTACTTAATTGAATGCCAAACAAATTAACACACACTATATGCCAGTAAAGTGCCTTTTCTTTCAGCTTTCGAGCTATAACAATGCCTCTTAATTTCTTTAAGGCAAACTTTTAATCAATCAAGAAAATACACATGCACGCACGATTTATTGATCGTGGCAACGTGAACAATCTATTATAAATATAACATTATGTTACATAAAATAATATCAGTTAAGTTAATATATCATTATTAAATTATATAAGCTTTTAGGAAAAATTATAAAACATTAAACCGGGTTAAGATGATATCACATGAAGTGGTTACTAAAATATGATAAATTCATTTTTTTAAATTTAAATTCATCAAAATTAACTTCATGACTAGTCAAACTAGTGTAAAAAAGGATGAATGTTAAATACTTTGATTATATTTATTAATTGAAAAAATAATATTTAAAATTTTAGATTTTCATAATTATTATATATATATATATATATATATATATATATTCTTACAAATGTTCAAATTATTTAAAGTTTGAATGTCAAACTAAAATACTTATACAATTAATAATTTTTCATAAAAGATGAGATTTTAACCAATTCAACTATTTGTTTAAAGGTTCTTATTATAAGTAAATTAATTTTATTTTAACATATATTATATTTTAAAATATACGTAAATATTAATTTTTAGATGTTATAATCAGTTGAAAATATTTAAATTAAATAAATTTTAATATACATGATCATGAAAAGTGATATAAAATGACTATTGAATTAATTAATTTTATATTTTATAAAAAATTATTAAAAAATACAAATGTCTAAGTTTTTATACCCGGTAACAATAAAATATCTCTCTCTATATATATACTCACTTTAAAATTCTATAATTGATCTAAAATAGGTTGAGTGAAGAAAAAGACTTTGAAATTTTAATAATTAGTTAAGAGAGATCATTCTATTTAATAGAAACAATATACGTATTCAACTTTTTAAATTTTTTTATTACTTTAAACTAAACAAATATATTAAAAATATATAATTAATTAATTTTTTTAATGTGTTTAATGATATATAATGAGAATTTATTTATAAATAATATTTTTTTATTAAAAATTACATGATTCAATGTATATTTACAAATATAATGATTTTTAATACAATATTATTGTATTAAAATTTTATTATATATTTTTACAAAAAATATTAATTTAATATATAGCTGTATGCATTTATTCTAATTTTCTTAAAAAAATTTATCAATAATATAGTATATTTAGTCCAAATACTTTCAAGACTTTTTGTGATATTCTTTTATTGGTTTAGAAGTTTAATGTGATAGCATTAGAATAGCTTTTCAGTAATTTTATTTGCTTAACTTTCATATAGTATAATAAATTTTATAAAATTCATCTTGCAGAAAAACTATGTATATTTCAAAGACTCAACGTTTGAGGATATTTTTTGCTTACACCAAACAAAGTTGAACTACTGTTAGTAGTCAGCAGCACATGTACTTTTAAATTTGAAATTTTTATCAACTATATATTTTTAAACCTTTTAATGTTCAAAGTTAGAGTAATATAGTCGATAACTGTTAATAGACACCTTTGATATTAATTATTAAGACCTAGTCGTTGATGGCATGAGCACAGGAAGTAGAGACCATAAATAATTAATTGATTAAATAACGATCTATCTACAGTACTTTTCATAGGAATTTGTTTTAAGACACTAAATTAATCAATAATGTAAGCATTTTATCTCACTAGAAAATTTTGCTCTTGCATAAGAAACTAACCATCAAGAGGGAGAAGGCTCGTATAAGCAAGTCAATCACTGTGTATTAAATATTCAAAGCAAGAGTTAAATGTTAAAAATTACAAAGTAATAAAATTATTTTCTTGAATTAAGTTTACAATTAAAATAAAGAAAAAACTCAAATAATTGCTTTTTTAATATAGAACTAATGTTAAAAAAATTATGAAAATAAATATGAATGAAATTAAAACAAAGAATAGACCAAAAAAAGTTTAAAATTTACAATCTCATAAAATAAAATATTACAAAAAATAATAACAATCATAAAAATTAAAATATAACAAAAGTGAAAAATAGGCAACTGATAACTTTAAAAGATAATGGCAAAAAGACATAAAATAAATAATATGAATAGAAAAAGATTAAACTTTATTTAATTTGCATAGTAAAATTTTAAAGGCACTTACTATTCTAAAAAATCATTGTCAGCATGTCTCTCTCACGCACATATAGATAATTGATAATTACCTTATAAAAAAAGAAAAGAAAGAACGTAACTGAGATTAAATAACAATCCATGAAGAATTGGTCAAGGGAAATAATATAAGTCTAAAATTTATCATGCCACTTATTTGACCCTTCACTGGTTTTTTAGAGTGGGGTATCATTCTTCAATCTTCTTAAAAAAAATTTATAAAACAAACAATACACATAAACATCATCTTTTATAATCATCTTATTCAACTCAAATAATATATTTTTAAAATATTATTATAAAAAAATAATAAAAAGTGTTAAACAGTGTTCCATAAATATATATATATATATATATATATATATATATTAATGAATTTAAATATAGTTTTTAATAAAGACGTCTATTCCAATTCTTCTTCCCAAATCTTGTGTACATTTTGTAAGAGAAATATTTTTTTAACCCACTTTAAATGTTATATTAAATATTGGTTGAAAAAAATGGCTCAAGTTCTCACAAATTCTTTCATGCGTTGATTTAACAAATTTTTTCTGATAGAAAAAGAGAAATACTGCTGGAATAATAACTGTTAAAATGTTTTATTTAAGTTATAAATAAAGTAAAAGTACTCTTTATAAGA